TAATCAGAATAATCAGAATAATCAGAATAATTTTAAATAAAAATTATCAAAGATATTCATAACCAATTGTTCTAGCGCAGCTAATAGTTTCCAACAAATAGAAAAAGGAAGTTTAAATAATCATTTCGAGAAACGAATAAATTTACTTCTTTTTGGTATTTTATACATTCTGCATGCCGTTCAACATATTAACGTAATAATAATCGATGACAATATTTTTTGACAACTGAGAATATTTTATAATGATAATTATATAATAATAATAATATTAATAATTCGTAATTATAATAGCAGTGATAATAATAACATTGGTAACGGTCTCTTAAGTGATCATTCTCCTCGCAATTTTATAAATAGACGGATAAGAGCAAGAAGTAGGGAAAAAGAGAAGGAGAAAAGGGAAATGTCAAACTTTTTAACCGAAAATGGTAAAAAGGTACGTAATTGGAAAAAGTGAGAGAGACGGAGAGAGAGGAGTATATAACATTAACAGCTTGATCACTATGGGGGATAGGGAGGCGAGTATAAACAATAACATGAATCACAATTATGCAATAATTAATCGGCCGTTTTCCGTCGCGCGCAATTTTTCATTAAAAATTAATAATAATTCGATCTAACAATTAGTTACTGGGAGATTGCACTGTGTAGCGAACCCAGACCACCTCCGTTTTCCGTGCATCATCTAGTCCACTCGTCTCCTCACCTCCGGAATGATACGATATCATATCATCCATCTTTGAGGAGAGATTACATTTGAAAGCGAAAGCAGCCGGGGTTCTCTCGAATTTCGAGCGAATTGCAACGAGAGCCCGTCGTCATCCCACAGCCGGCTCTGTTGTATTTCACAGTCTTCGTAAATGATACGATTTCGCACCGACGCGCACCGACACCGATTTCGTACCACTTGCCGCGTAGAAAACGTCACAATGTGAGGTCCTTTTGATTGAGCTCCGTTCAGTTTTGATCCTTTCGTTCTCTTGGCGCCTCGTCTAAATCGATCAAGATATCCCCTCGTTTCTGTTCGGTAACATCCTTCAAGAATGTCCTAGACTTTCGCGGTTCGCCTCTCTCTATGATAATGCCCTCGTGGTAGGCAGGACTCGCATACGATCGAGTCCTATAACTGGTTTCCTCGTTTAAAACTTAATTAGACCGATGGATATCGTGAACTCGCGGAACGTCTTTTCTTATAAAGCGTCGTTTTGGCATATCTCAACAATATGACTCTGAAGACACGTCGGAAACCTCATTCGATCTCCATTCTTCGAGAAGGAAACACCGAGTTCGCGGATAATCCCATGAAATTTCATGTCCCAAATTGTTCTAGTAATCCCACGTTTCCTCGGGTTCGTGCTTTACCACGTCCTTCGGACTTCCCTCCGTGGACTGTTGCGTTTGTTGCGCCGACGGCGGTCTAAGCGACGTCGTTGGACTATTCTGACCGGATTTTGGACTGGGCAGTGGACTATCCCGATCAGCCCCATTGTTGCCGGATACGGAGGAAACATCACTCTGGACATCCTCCTCGTATCGGTCCTGCACCGGGGTTGGCTCGACTCTTATGGTCTCCTCAGTCTCCCTTTTCACACCGTAGTCATCCGTTTGCATCACGCAAACGCCGTTAATGATGACTTCGTCACCTGCTCTCGTCGGTTCTTGCCACTCCGGATTAACCCATTGCGGTGCCGCGGGTTTCCTCCTATTGGACCTGACCGTCGTGGGTGCCGTCGGCGTTTCTGTGGGCTCCCTCTTTATACTGCCGGCCGAACCCTCCGAATCTTCGCTACCGAGATTACTCATCGCGTCTTCAACATCCTCATCTTCAAATTCCTGATTCGGTTCTCTCTTCAGGGCGTTCATCGAGAGATCGAGGCCGGAACATTGTTCTTTCAGCGCGTTACCCACCAGAGCCGCCAAGTTGGGATTAAAATACGGAGAATAAGGTAAGGGTACATTTCCTAAACCTAGTCTCTCCTTCTGAATCTCCAGCAATCTTTGGTTCAATAGCAATCTGAATTGAACGGGGTCGAATGGTTGGCCGGGTTCTCGCGGCGATTGCGGCTCCGGCTGGCCATGCGGTGTCTGTTGCTTCAGTCTCATTCGATGATTGTGAAACCAATTCGTTATCGTCCTTGAAGACAGGGCGAGTTCACCGGCAAGGAATTCAATAGTGGCCACGTTGGGATATGGATCCAGAGCAAAGGCGAGTCTGAGAGCCTCCTTCTGCTCT